CACAACTGGGCCAGTTGTGGCGTTGACCCATTTGAACCACATAAACCAAACCACAACCGGGCCAGTTGTGGCATTGATAGATTTGTACCACATAAACCAAACCAGAACTGGGCCAGTTGTGGCATTGACTGGTTTGGACCGCATAAACAAAACCACAGCTGGGCCAGTTGTGGCATTGACCGATTTGGACCAAATAAACTAAACCAAAACCAGGTCAGCTGTTTTATTGTCAGATTTGGACCACATAGACCAAACCACAAATGGGCCAGTTGTGGCATTGACCCATTTGAACCAGATAAACCAAACAACAACTGGGCCAATTGTGGCGTTGACCCATTTGAACCACATAAACAAAACCACAACTGGGCCAGTTGTTGCATTGACAGATTTTGGCCACTAAAGCTGACTCTGTATCATCTAATCTTTTCAAAATAAAATACAATGAATGGTAGAAAAATGCTGTGGGTGCTTGAGTGTTTCTGTTTTTCCCCATGAATGGGGTTGGATGTAGGTGTTCTGTCTGAAAAAATATCTGCAAMTGAATAAGTATCATTAATAAATAACTTAGTTTGTGACTTTCATTTTTAATAAACTTTAAATATTCAAAAACTACTTCTAATCCCCCAGTTAGTAAGACTGAGTTTCTAAAAATATCCCTTGTAATGTGGACAAGGCCTACTGGTGAAAGTTGTCTTATAATTGCTCATGTCTCCATAATTTCATTGTGGTTCATGCAAACATWTTAWTTAATASACTTTTTATCAATTTGACATTAATCTTTGTTTTTGTTTCTTCAAATCAAAGTTGTTCAAACATGAACTCCACTTCAAAATGGAAGAACTATCTGTTTAAATGAAAGCAAAGCACACTTACACAACACACACACTATGACCGTGGTAAAAACATGAACTTGCATTAATGATTCAGGTGAGGAACAGATGCAGACTCTTTCATTTTGACTCATGGGTGAGGATGGAGAGGGGCGTGGCCGCAGGCAGAAGTAAACGTTGCATCAACGCTCACATCAACGACCCAAAAGACAACCACAGACACATCCACACGCTCAGACAAATATTTAAAACATACTTTTATATGTACATTTTTTTACATGGACTTTTTAATATATATATATTGCTATTAGAAAATAATAAAACATTTATTCAAGATGGCAAATAAGTAAGAAAATAAAACAGGAACTTGAATAGAGCCAGTATGTTTTCATTATTCTGAACAATGATCCTGCTCAAGTCTTCCATCCAGATCAAGGCCAAAAAACAGGCCAAAMGTTTAAGCAGCATCAAAGGCAACATTTACAATCCTGCCCCCCCAGGACCCCGTGACGTTCTTTGGAAACTTTAAGGTCCTTCTCCTCAGCAGACGGCCCTCACACGTCATACACATGTCGAACATGAGGGCCGAGTCCTGAACTGATTTACCCAAACAGTTCGTGTTATAGCAGCTTCGAAAATTCACCTTAACCACCAGCATTAAAACTATCTTGATCCTTAAAAACATTTTTTGACACGTGCCATCATTACCATGAATTACATAAAACTGCTTTAAATGAATTACCACCTGAACTGGCTCAAACGTGAAGTGATGGAGGTAAAGGCTACATGGGTGACATGGCATCAGAACATGTATCTGTCTTATGCACTAGRAATTATTAGGTTTGTTTTGCACATCAGTTAAGTTTTGTGGATAAATGCACCAGTCACTTGTACACACATCTTCATGATTCAATTTAAAATAGTAAAAAAACTTTTATTTAAACACTAAGGCTTAAAAATGGGGAATTTTGATCAAATTTCATGAACTAATCATTAAATTGTTTTACACTTCAACATGAAAACCAGCAAGCAGCTGAACAGTTTTTATTATAATCCTTTTTTTAGTGGTAGGCACAGTTCTGCAAAGAGCCAACTTTGATAACAGTTTCTCAAATTAGCAAAARTGCTAACATTTAAAGTTTACTTTTTGTTTAACAGATAGCATTTTTTCTAACTTTAGAAGTAGTTAGCCRACCAGCCAACTTCTGCAAAATTTASTTCTGCTAACTTTAAGTCCACCAAAGAAAACAAAAACAACTACTGCTGCATGTTTAGAAAGTTGTTTGTATTTTTATTAGCGAACTTAAAGCTAGCATAACTAAATTTACCGGAAGCTATAGTCCACTAAAGGATTTTTATGTTGGCAAAAAAAGCTAATCCATTATCACATTTCAAGACCTGGTTAGTAAATGTTTCAGATTTTAGCATGAAAATAACAGCAAGCCGCTGTTTTGATAAACTAATACTGTCCTGTTTGCAGTGGTGGGCACAGTCCTGTTAGCATGCTAYGCTAGCCTTTTGTTTAGCAGATTAGTGTTTTTTGATAATTTTGGAATCTGTTTGAGGACCAGATTGYTTTTGCTAAATTTAGTTTTGCAAACTTGAAATCCAGAAAGGAAAAATAAAACAACTATCCTCTCACACATGCAGTAAATTGTGTTTTTGTTAGCAGACTTAAAGTTAGCTGAAGCTAGGGCTGTGTATTGGCAAGAATTTGGCGATACGATACATATCATGACAGAGGGGTCACGATACGATATATCCCGATATATTGCGATACTATAAGCAAGGCGATATATTGCGATTTTTTTTGTCCAAAAATTCTATTAAATAAAAACCTCTTACAGGAGAAAGAAATGAAAAACTAAAATTCATTGTCTCAGAAAATTCTAATATTACATAGACATACTTTTGATACATTTAACTGTTTTCTGCTTTGWATGTATTTTATTTTATTTGTTTCATATTTCTTATTTAATCCATGTTTTCAATTATTAGACTAAATTTGACAATAAACAGTTTGAAAATATATTTTTTGCAGTTTTTAGTTTTTAATATTAATTTACAATATGGTCACCCAACACTTAACAATAGCCTCTACCTCAAGAGGTAGAGGAGCCAAATGTCTGGCTCACTGCTGCCAACTAGTGGTCAGAGGCTGAACTACAACATAAAAATRAACGGCTGGCAGGAAAGTTGACATTTTAAACCTTAATAAAAAATCGATACAGGGCTTTAGGATATCGATACAGTATCGGGAAATGAAATATCGCGATATTTCAGTGTATCGATATTTTCTTACACCCCTAGCTGMAGCTAATTGGTTTTATTAAGTTAGTGAAAGTCTGAACACCTAACAGCAAAGCTATTGTTTAGTTTAGTTTAACTTTAGAAACCTTTAGACCAGTTAGCTTCTGTTAAATTTAGCTCTGATAACATTAAGTTTGCTAATGAAAATTAAAAAAATCTACCCTCTTACACACGCAGCACTGCACACCTGCTGTTTATGCACATCACGTGTATGTGTAGCATTTTTTATGTCCCTCCACTTTACTCTTCAACTTAAGGAGAAGAAGACGTGTAACGCAGTTTGAGTGGCAGTCGCCTTCGTCCACTCGTAATCTGGCCACAAAATGTGATTTTGGCGGGAAAATGTCCTACAACTGATGCTTCTGATGATACCGCACATCTTGAACTACTAGTTATCAGTCAGCATTAGCAAAGCTATTCAGCTATTTCTTTTAAATTAGTGGATTGGCATTTGCAAAGCTAACTTTTTGTTTAGCTGTGCCCTCCGACGCCTGTTTGTAACCATKTCTTACACAACATATTTCATGTGGTGGCAGGATAAGGACATGAATCATCATTAAACGAATATTGAATCATGAAGCATTTCACCTGAATGTTCAAAAGTGCTGGATTTTGCAGAAACCAATAACTTGCCTTTAATCCTAGAACTGATGCTGTGAACAGAAGAAAATGTTCTACGGGATGAAATTAGGGACACTCACACTGAAAATCTGATTTCAGGAGGCTGCACATCAGATTTTACTGTGTTACAAAATGAAAGACGTGTATTTTCTATCTTGGGATTCCACCTTTAGGATTGTTCTAATATTACATGATCATTCACATTATCTCTTACAGTGCAGTTGCCGTTCTAAGTGGCAAAACTAAATAAACTCACTTAAATAAGGCTGAATCACTACATGAATTCCATTTACAGCTAATATAGGATGAGATGTTTCCCTTTGTTTTACTCCATGTTTCTCAGTGCACAGATGATTGATATTTACTTGCATAAACTCAGCAGTGATCAGTCTACTGGACATAGTGCTAAGGCCCCGTCTACACTATTTTTTTTATAATTATCTTATTTTTTCTGTCCACACATTAAAAAAAAACTAAAATGTTGAAATAGCAATGCTCAACCACTAGGTGGCGAGAAAACCTAACATTCAAAGCTTGGCTAAAGATTCTTCCGTAAAGTTAAGTATCTCACTGGGTTCAGACAAATGATGAGCACCATTTTAGGGTTTATTAAATGTCTCAAATGTTTGCAGAAGTTTTTTATTATTTTTATTATTATTATTATTATTACTTCCCATGAGCCACAGGGGCCTCAATTGTGTATTTCTGGAATTTTGAACTCACGAGAAAATTTTACTCAAACTGTCATAGATGTGTCGCAGGCATGTGGAACATGTCTTGAATACTTCTCAGTTTAATTTCTGTGATTCTGCGGTGTTAGAGCTTGTTTTTGTTATTGTTTGTGTTTAGTGTGATTTCCAAAAATAAAATGTTTAATTTGCTTAACTTTTTTTTACAATTTTGCGTCTCCAACTAGTCCCCAAAAGTTGCTGCCCAGTGATATACTACCTGAATTTTATGTTTTTTTATAGGGATGCACAATATATCAGCATCATACATCGGCTGATATTGGTCATTTTTTAGAATATCGGTATCAGTCAGATATGTAAAACTGGGCCGATATTAACGTCCGATATTGATTTCCCACTTTTTATCTTTGTGTTTCTGTTTTGGGAGGGGAGATGTTTGGTTGAGCCGGTCTGGTCGTTTATTTGCGATMAGACCCAGGTGTGTTTGTGCATGTTATATATGATATAATTTCTGTGTTTGTGCGATWTTGGTAAATATCGGTTATCGGCCATAACAGCAATAATTATATCRGATATCGGATGAAATTTTCATATCGGTGCATCCCTAGTTTTTTAATATTGTTTACAATTTCCTCTCAGTTAAACATTTCAGCACAAGATTAAAGTTAAATTCCTGCAGGATCAGGATAATGTGAAGTTAGACAGATGAAAGAAACAAACAGTAAAATTAAGCTCCATTGTTGCTTTAGTTTCTAGGGCACAAATTCACAAAATAAGTCCATGTCAGTTTCTGAAAAGCTGCTCTTAAAGCCCGCACAGAGGAAGCAAAAATATACCTTTTTTTTAAAAACCTCCACATTAGAAAGTGTTTTAAAATGTATTTAYCTCATAACAAACTCCTTTCACGTGTTGACGGGAGGCGCAAACACAAGGAAAAAAGCTTCATTTTAGAAATATTCTCAGTAGTGAGATCGGGGCCAAAATCAAACATCACCTTTATGTGTTACAATCTGTTTTTCTGGTCATTTTTAACCTTTTATCTTGATTATAGCTAAAGAGAARATGTCAGGTGCACTCAACATGGGGTGGATCCATAGTCTTCACAGTCGAAAGCCAGAGATTTCCTTGGTTCAGTTTGCAAACAGTCTGCTAATTATCTGCCAAATATTTCCCTGTGAAACACAACCAAACAAAGATGTTTAGTGTCTGTGGGCTCTCACACGACTGAAGCTTTTTAATTTTAAATAAAGACAGAAAACAATTCGATGACAAAGACTGACCTGCAGCAAATCTCTTTTTCACCAGCGACAGCCGGTAGCCGGTCCCAACAAGCTGGATGTCGCAGCCGGACAGGGTGCTTCCCTCGCTGGTGAACTGCACTGCCAGCTGGGAGGGCTTACAGGGGCCTTCATCCATCTGGAACCGGCCCAGTAGAGCACCTACTCCTGCCCAACACAGACAGTTAATATTGTATTTAAAGGAATATCGTAAAATAAGATCCTTAATGTGACAGAGAAAGAAAGCCACTCGCCTCCATTTTCAGACCTATGAGACAGGCTCGGAATTTTCCACTGGACTGTTTGATCCTCTGGATTCCTTTAGGGAAAATGTTTCCTCGTTACTTAAAACAATTTGTAAATAAAAAAAGGTGAATCATGTAGGCCATGCTAATACAAAAAAGGAGGTGTGTTTATGCTGAATTCACACTTAATAGTTGGCTTCTGATGGGACAAAATATAGTTTAAAGTTATTTTTTGTGAAAATCCCTAATGAACATTTGCTAATGAGCCAGCAAACAAACAATATAGTGTATAATATATATGTTCCAAYTCAAACAGTGAGAAATATGTATTTCTTTGTCCTGTCCTGGTCCTGGAGGACCACTATCCTGCTTGTTTTAGAGGTTTCTCTGCTCCAACACACCTGATTTAAAGGAATGTGATTAACAGGCTTCTGTAGAACCTGAAGAGGTAAAACATACAGGATAGCAGCACTCCAGGACCAGTAAAGAACTACGATTTACTGTTTGTGTTAACGCTTAAACTGAATAAATGTAAAAACATATTATGAGTATAACTCCTACAAGAAGCAGACAGTTTTTACATTTTTAGTTTTAAGTTGAAGTTTCTCTGGATTTAGTCTATTTTAGCGCCTTCATTTCCTGTTTTATTTTGTAGTTTTTGTGTTGTCACTGTCCTAATCAGCTGCTCCTCATGTCCTCAGAGACATGCTTTATGATCCCAGTTGTCTTTGATCAGTTCAGAATAAAAATGTTAAGCCCAAGTATATTATTACAATTAACAATATTATAGTAATAAATGAGTAAAATGGATTATTTTCGTCAGTAGTAAGTTTCTCATTGGGTAGCCCCGCCTTCACCTGCCCTGTTTTGCAACAATTATARATCCACATAAAAAAAGACATTATAAACAACACAAAAAGATTTTGTGGATATTCTGAAAGCTGATTTCGTGGGAAATCAAATGTCACTGAATTGTCCTGTTCTTATTAGAGGCAAACAGCAGTTATATAGTCAATGGATAAATGGTTTTCACTGATCCAGAATTTGGAGGCAAGACTGTAAAGAACATTAAAACAAACTGTTCATAAAGACGGTGGSCTGCCTGGCTTCTGTGAACCTACATGTAAAATAAGGATATAAATATAAATAAATGGCACTTTGACAGGACTTTTATTGGAATTTTAAGAAACCACATCTAAAGTAGAGGTTGACTGATATTTTGGGCCAATATTTGTTTTATTTCTCAGCCAATCATAACTTAAGATTGTTTGTTTTTATTGTTATTCATGTTCCACGTTGTTTGCTATACATTGTCATAAGATAAGATAAGATAAGATAAGATAAGATAAGATAAGATAAGATAAGATAA